AAAGGATGGATCAATGCTTCGAGAAGCAAACAAATTTACTAGGAAAGAAAGTTGCATCAATTTTTATTTTTTCCAATTTCAATTTTTTATTTTTTATAATTTTTTGTATTTCACATGGCACGCTTTGATTTAGAAGAAAAAATTCAGAACAGTTTTTGACACTTTCGATACCAGAAGCAACAACAAAATACACGCAAATGTTGTTTTTGCTCTACTGATACTGCCTGTTTAATGTGCCTTGCTGTATACTGTGAATTTTAGTTCTTTATAGTTATTCAAACACATAACCAAAATATTTAATACATATTATTTTCTCTGTTACATATAATAAACAAAATGATAAATGACTTCAGAGAGAGGTACGAAGCGAAACACGATTTTTGTTAGTCGAATCGACTAACGAAGCACGTCCAGGGTTAAGCTTTTAGTGAACGACTATCGTTTCAAAGTTACGTGATTCACGCCCTGTGGCTTAAACCAAGAACAGCCAATCAATTGTAAGCCAGGTGATCAATTTAAACTCAGTTTACTTAAACCAAGTTTAGACTGGCACTGAAAAACTGGCTCTAAGGCAGCTGCCTCACCCCCTGGCTACGCCGCTGATTTTGTTAAACATTAATTTATTTTAATTCACAACTGCAATATTGTGAGCTTCCACAAGCACGGCTTTGACTCATATAGTGCAAGAAATTTAAGCGCAAAAACTTTTTACATAAATAAAAATTAGCTAATTTCGCAATTCACGTCACCGGCATGCTGCTACAATCGCACCTAAAGAACATACATGCACGTGCAATCGGCTTGCCCCAAAAACTGGTATTATGTGCGGGCTTTTGTTAAAGAGGGTAGTCCAGCAGTTAACGAAGACGATAAAAAAATTACCTTCTGGCAAAACATAGGTTTTCGCGTAATGGGACACAATGCAACTGTTGGGGTAGTTATAACTTCGAAGTATTGAACGACTTGGTCTAAAAGACCATAGCCTAAAAGAACATGCATGTTTATCAAGGCAATTGTGCGCTCATTGAGCACTGTCTCTGTTTTGTAGTTACATTGCCATTGTACGGAATATAGGCTGAACTAAATCCGGAAAATTTTTAAAATTTGGCTAGTAATGGAACCACTTTATCCATTACAATAAATGTAATTGTACAATTATTGTATTTATGAAGATGCATAAAAGCGACAAGTTACAGGAATCGTGCTTCCAACTACATTTTTGGATTCGTTTACTTACCGCCACAGATGTATGTCATCGCTGTTTTCAGCACAGTATCCTTAGAACTGCTCTCGGACATGATTTTTTATAGTTATTTTCAGCAAAATTGTAGTTAAAATAAGCAATTTCCTCTACCGTTCGTATTTGCAATTTCTGGTGGAATCCGACAGTGTTCGTTTGTTTTGACAGCAAAATGAGGTAAAGGTTTGTTTGTTTTGTTGCGAGGTACAGCAGCAGAGATTCCATCCCACTCTTTTATTTTCGGAATATTTATCGATATACGAAGGTACACATTAACCGATAACTTAACGGGCAATGAAGTGCAGTTTTCTCTCTCTGCAAGCTAGATATGGGCAAAGAAGGTAAATTTATACATTTATAGATTTATGGGTCGATTACGGATAGCAACGTAACCACGGTTCGGTTGTCACCTGGCAACGCAACTGGAAAAACAATTTGTATTACGAATGGCAACTATCGTCAGTTGCTGTAGAGTTATCGATAATCGAAATTTGACTGTTTGACAACAAGCTGTGCGAGTAAAATTAAATTATTAAAATAAAAATTTTAAAGAAAAGACAGCAATAAAGCACAGTTCCTCACAATTTTTGTTTATTTAATCAGACGACATTTAAAGGACAATTCCGATCCTCTAGAGCTACCGCGTGCACTGTAAGCAAAAGTTAATGTTTTTAAGGTTTTTCTTTTATTATCGTTATGAGTTCATTTTCAAAGGACTTCCAGAAGAAGCTGTAGTATAATTGGTTAATAAACAAATGAACCACTTCGTGTTCAACTTCAATACCTCCGCTCATAAAAGCTTGCGCACCTCTTCGATTTTTCGAAGAAGGAAGTGCCACAGCAATGACTTTAGTTTGGAAAACTTGGTGTGTCGGTAATTTAAAAGAGGTGCTTCAGTTGATAGAGGAAAACATTTGCAATCAGTGTTCGATTTTGTTTCGCCAAAAGGGCGTACTCCACGGGAACTAAAATTTCAAGTTATTGTTTTGTTATTTTCACCATATTCTGTAAAAGCAAACTACATTGAAAAATTTTAATATCGTTTAAATAATTGAAAAGTAAAATATATGACACACTTCAATTTTCGCTGCTAAATACGCCCCAAAAACATTCTCAGCAACCACAAAAATGAAGTCGCCTGCATACACACTTTGTAGCAACTGCAGTTGTCAGTTGAAAGTTGCCAGGTGCCATCTGTAATAACGTTTTGGCAACTAGGAATGCAACTCAAGTTCGATAGCTATCGATAATCGACCCATTACGTTCTTTGATACAAGTACTTTTTTTGATACCTACTTGGGTCGCAGTAAAAAGTATCGAGTACTAAAATACTTGGTAAATTGAGAAAAGTATCGAGTATGCACTCGGATTTACNTAGCTATCGATAATCGACCCATTACGTTCTTTGATACAAGTACTTTTTTTTATACCTACTTGGGTCGCAGTAAAAAGTATCGAGTACTAATATACTTGGTAAATTGAGAAAAGTATCGAGTATGCACTCGGATTTACTTATATCGATTCATCACTATTCTGGAAATACATTCATAGTGATCCCTGCAAAAATCGCGACTACTCCATGCATGCATGTAAAGAGTACTCCCGTAGGACCAAGGAATACTCCAAAATTAACCACAATTCATATAAAAAATATGGTCCAATTAACATTGCGATGTCCTAGGGCAGGACCATATACTCCATCTCTGCATTACATCAGAGTAGCACAAAACTACTCCTAACATACTCCAATGACATTGTCGTTATATTTTTTTGTTTGTACACGCTTTTGTTCTTCACTTCGCAGATGCTTTTTTTGAAATGAATAAAAACCAAAAACAAAAATTAAAAATTACATGTTGCCTCTGACGACATTCGAACCCGAACATGCTGGGAGCTAAGAAATAACGCTAGCATCTCTACACGTTCAGCTACAGCCAGACATGCAAATGTACTTTCAAATGCTTAACTTCAATCACATTTCGTTAAAACACGAGCAGTGATCGGGTAACAATAAGCTGGTGCAGAGACACGAGTTGGTCCGCTACAGCATGACAGAGGAGCACTTTTGTAAGTACTCCAATATACCACAAATAGACTACATGGTCCAACGATTTTTGCAGGGATAGAACTTTTTAGAAAGGTATCGACACTAGTACTCATATAGAATACTCTAAAAAAGTATCGGTGCCAGTACTCATATTTGCAAAAAAGTATCGATAATACTCGTACTTCCAAGTATTCTCAAAGCAAACGCAAAAAGTAAACAAAAATCAGATTGCTTCGCTTTTTTCACCTCTTCCTATTTGTAAATTGAATAGTCACAGCTCTTAATAGTTTTAATCTGAACTAAAGAAGGTTATGGAATAAACTTCTGATAAATTAGTTTTACATGCGTAAATTAAATGTTTACAGCAAAAAGCTTATTTCCAAGTTTTTAAAAGCAAATATTTTATAATTGTTTGACGCGTACATGTATTTATAAATAACTTTGCTTTGAAAATGAAATGCAAATGTAGAAGAAGAGAAGCAAATGTGTTAGCCCATTCTCTATTGGAAAAACAACACCTCTTTTATAAAAATTTTCTTCAAGAATGGGCTGGATTTCACAACGATGGTAGCATATGTACATGGGTTAACGACGGCTGCCTTATGCTGGAGAGTGGCCAAGTTGTCGAGTTCATTATCAAAGGGGAGGCAAGATATTCATTTTTCAATTATTTAAACATTTTTACCTGAAATGACCCTTACATTTTCTTCTAGGTTGTGTAAAAATTTCATAACTGTCCAAATTACCAGTAGCTCACAAGAACAAATTATGTATTAATTATTAGTATGGGAGTATACATATCGTCGCCCGTATGCCATAAACATGAATGTGTAAAAAAGAAAATTTTGGGAAATCTAGTTCGAAACATTCATATTGGATATTTAAGTTAATATTCGAACGTTCGCCACAATATTTACTGGGTAATTAAAAGAAAAAATTACTTAAAAATTTCTTAACTCGTCGATACTTTTCGGCATTCGCGATATTTACTCAGTACTTGTGAAAAAGTATCGAGTTCTGGATACTACTCAGTACTCATGAAAAGTATCGGTGTTCTGTACTCGGTACTCGTATCGTCCTATCACTATACATTCATATTTTTGATAATTTGTAAACAAGTACTCCGTACCGCAATAATAAACAAATAAACAATGAAAAACAAGAGGTTAATGCATCCGCGAAATATTTTTCGGACGCCTCCAGACTACACCGCTTTGGCAATCAAGTACAAAGATTTTCGCAAAGTTTGTAAACTGGTAAGTGGGTGTACATAAATAAGTACTACCGGTCTCTATCAAAATCTCAATCCCGTGCAGGAGCTCAGTGGAAAGGTATGCATCGATTACCGCAATGAGTTCACCTTACGCGCGCTCACACAAATGCTATTGGAAGAATACTTTCAATTACGTGTAGAATTCGCACCCGGAAGTCTCATACCCACATTGCCGCTCCGTTTGAACTACATTCTATGGTTGGAAGATTTGCTCACATCACTTAAGCTTGGATCAACACAAGAAATTCGCTGCATAGATATAGGTTCGCATATCTACTTGTAAAATTGCGTACAATGTAATTTTCTTTCATTTCCCCAGGCTGTGGCTCGTCTTGCATTTATACTCTGCTGGCGGCACGTAAAAATTCATGGCACATGTATGCAATCGAATCAAACGACACGAATCTGAATTATGCAGAAAAGAACGTAGAAACAAATAAGCTACAAAATTTGGTAGAAATCTTCAAACAGATTGACAAGCAAGTCGTGCTTACAGATTTTTTCCGCACCAGACCGGATATAACATTCCACTTTTGCCTCTGCAACCCACCATTTTATGATTCTACGCTACCCAATCCTTTTCATGGCAACACAAGAAATGAGGACAAGCGCACACCACCACATAATTGTCACACAGGTAATGCTGAAGAGTTGGCTTGCGAAGGTGGAGAGGTGCAATTTGTGCAACGAATAATTGAAGAGAGTGAATTGCATTCACAACGTGTTTGGTAAGTTCTATTAGCTGATTTATTAGATTTAATTAATAAAATATTTTATGTGTGCATTAATCTCTAGTGTTTATACATCAATGTTGGGACACAAAAGCAGCGTTGGACGTATTTTAGAAGTATTGAATAAAAAACAAATCAAGAACTGCTCCACTACAGAATTTTGCCAGGGTAATACAACACGCTGGGGCATAGCTTGGAGTTTTAGCACTGATTTCAATCTGAAGTCTAGTACAACACCAAATGGATGAACAAAAAAAAAATAAATAAAACGTGTTGGAAGTTTAGTTATTTCCGAAACGGCTAAGAAATAATGAGAAAATGTAATTGAATTAAAATTTAATGGAGGAGAATAAATATGCTGGAATTCTTATTTCCGTGTGCCAATCCCGATTTCTCCAAATGCAAGAAGACGCGTTTCTATTATCAATTTGCTAGAGGCTGCACAATGCCCAAAATATTACTCGAATATAATGTTTGCATCGTAATTGGACGGTAGTGTTATGAATCATAACTTATGATTGTATTTATATTATGTAGGAAACATTTAAAATGTGTTTATAGTTGTTTTGGTAGACACTTTACAAGTTACTTTATAGAACAGTTAATTCTTTAATTGTTATTTTCGAAGAGATCTAAATGCAACAATGAAACAATGAAACTCTAAACAGGACCATGCATGTTTAATAAAGCAATAATTCGATGTTTTTTAACCGAGTTGGCAGTTCATGTATCTTAGTATGCGTTTGTACTACGATTTGGATACTTACCGCATCCATCCCGTACAAATGAAAATAATGCGCTAATTTGTTGTAGTTTTTGTTCTTTTATTAGTTTTATTACTTTCACTAAATTGCTGTTATGATTTTATTTTAAATTTCTTTAAATTTACTTTCTTCCTTATACTTTGCGACATGACAATTTTTAGTTTACCATTATGGTTGTTTCAAACTTTGGTCAAATTTGTGTAAATTTACTTTTTCAATTAGAAATTGAATAAGAGTTGTAGGCATGTAGAGAGAGAGAGGCCAAGCCTATACGCCACCAATGAATATGCAGCGTGAAAATATTCATATTTTTGTGTTTATGGGGCTGGTGATTTAACACATGTATGCACATAGCCAGTGTGTACCTACTGTTATGCATTGCTATTATATTAAAATACATTCCGGTATTGAATTTAAAATTTAATTTAATTTGCTTATATGTTTCCTTATCGAGGTTGAATTAAAAATTTTGTATCAGTTAATTAGAGTAAAATATGGAAAAGATTTAGATTAATGCTGGAAATACAGCTCCATACATACATACATATGTATTCAACTAAATTATATGTAAATATTGATAAATGAATTTTTGTAAAGTAAAAACGTAAATGAATTCAGACTGCTGAGCTGTATGCGTGTTAGTATATTGAAAACAGAAAATAGATCGATTTAATCTAACTGTACAGTTTTCATTTAATAATTTTTGCAAGCTTTTCGATATTTGTTCAAAAGTGTATGAGTAAATAACTAACATCCGCTCGTTCCATAATCTTCGTGAGGGTGACAAAGTTGAGTAGCTTGTGCGGTGAATTGAAATGTGTTTTTGTTAAAATAAATATAAATATGTATTTAACTACTGTTTTTGTTTTGATATTGAAACATTTTTAGTTCGCCAGCATTTAAGGCGTATAGGAGCATGCCATAGTTCATATGTAACTAATTATGTTGATATTATGCTGCGTTTGTTCATTTTAACGCTTACATTGGCCTGCGTGTGTTCATTTACAATGTATTACATGCTCATTTTTTAATTGAAGTTTAGCCGTTTTTTGTTGATACATATTATGCTTAGTTTTTTGGTCGTTACTCTTGTAAACAATGTTAATTTATTTTATAAATATTAATTACTCTTTGGTATTTGTTTTGTTTTTTTTTGTGTTGGTTATGTACCTTTGTGTGTGCGAAGTTGAAGTACTTTTTACTCAATTCAGTTTAAATAAAACCACGAAACAGCTGCAATGCTTTTCTTTTATTTTCTTTAATTAGTATTAAGTAAAAGTTTTACTAAAATTATGTTTAAAATATTTAAAGTATGTATGCTTGGGAGCACATTGCTTAGGAAACTAAGTTACAAGAATATACTTGGTACACAACTTAAATATTGTTACTTCTAGGCAAATAATTTTGGTCTTTTAGAGGGAATTAAATATTTTTGACCATAAATTATTTTACTAGTTTTGAATAAACTACAATCCACACCACAAATTGGAGGAGAAGCTTGACCAAATATTAAGCAAAAGTGCAAGCGTCAAATATTTATTTAATTATATATGGCCCTAATAGAGTTAAGTAAGTGTCTTCGGTAACAGAGTAAGGTTATTTGGGCATTAGGAAAAAAATGGGGCCTAAACTCCGACTAAATTTATAGTGTAAATCGCTGAGTCATTAATACCAAAATGTTGATCATAACTAATCGAATTTTTTTTAGGGCTACCTTCGGCACGGAGAAACCCCGCATTAAAATCCTCAAGTCGAACACCACTTGCACTTGGAGAACAGGCGAAACATGCTGTTGGAAGCATATGCGGCGATTGGTAGTATAGTACCAAGATGCGTTGCTGTGAAAAAACTTTAGTTCAACACAAACGAAGGACTCGCTTGCATCAGACCAACTAACCATTGATGTTAGGACATGTTAGTGCTGCAGCCTAACTAGATCTGTGCTAAATCAAATACCCATTCTACCCCGCTACGCATCAACATGGCTGCTGTGATGTTCACAACACCACTACGGCATTTAATGCCATAAACACTCAGTCGATTTGCGGCTTACACTGTAACCATCTCTGTAAGGGAACTGTTCAAGTAGCGTTGGACTAGTCAAACGAACACTTTTTATCATTCGACGTAACTAGAAGACAATTGGCATCGTCTCCCAAACTGGGACTAAAAATGTGGACGACAAATCATCTGTGTGATCGACAGTAGTCACAATTTTTTTGAGATCAAACCCCCAAGCCTAGAGGAATCAAAAAACTTGTCCCACATATGGATATATTGTAGTGTAAGCTTCCTCAGCTACGAGAGGGAGTTTTTCTGATCTCAAAGGCATACTTTTTGTCATTCAACGTTACTAGAAGGCATTGGGACATCTTCTCCCGAACTGGGACAAAAAGGTGGAGGAAAAATCATCTGAGTCATCGGCAGTCGTCAGAATTTTCTCGAGACCAAGTTTCCAAGCCTAGAGGAGGCAAAAAGGTGTTTAACTTCCACATCTCGAAGTTTCCTCAGCCACCGGAGGGAGTATTTCCGATCTCCTACGTTGAGCATTATTCGATATTGGCGTCTGGGAATAGCATTTATGACCTGTGTTGGAAACTAAACGGCTACCTCTTCGAGTTTTCTCGCTTCTTCACTGCACGGAGTCTTACTCTCCCTTCTACAAACTCAACGGGGACCCTTTTTACTGACTGTACGAAAGACGACAAGTTGCAGTTAGGCATCCACGTTTACGACAATACCGACGATTAACAGAGTCGCGACAAGACCCTCAAATCGCTCGCCGGTAACACTTGGGACAAAGGCAAAGAAACTTGGTTAGCAATATGCAAGGCATTTGATTGAACGGTTTTGAACTATGATGCGTCTGTTTGTTCACTGGGAACTAGTAGGACGCAGTCGACGAAGCTCCAGACTAGTCAAAGCACAACACTCCGGACAGCAAAGTTTTGCCTTCTTATGTCGTTATATGCATAGCGAGGCTTCAATGCTGCCAATGGTCTCAAGGGGCACAATTTCATGCTCAGCAAGAAATTACTGCTTAGCTAATATCGAAGAGAGTATTCAAACAGGCATTTGCTGGAAGCAGAGCCATCTACCACTTCAGAAGGAATCCTTATGAACCTACGGACGAGATCTTTACCTACTTCGCACATCCACTGGACCCAATGTTTCAACAACAAACCACCAACGGCAAGTGTTCCCACAACATTTGGGTCTACGTAACCGGAATGGAATGGAAACAGATTCATATCCGGCCAACGACTGTCTCTCCCATATCATCCCCCGAAAATGCCTTTTGGGAAATTTGTATGCTTTTACAACCTCAAATACCAATAGGCAAGCACCGTCATAGGAGTTCCTACCCATCGCAGTAGCTCGTTGGCTGGACCAACCGTTAAATAAGCTTGATGACAATACTTAATGGACATACTGATTTTAAGACTACGTTTCCAACTAGACTGGATGAAAAATTGCTATTGAAGAAATAATGTATCGTAGGCGGGTCAACTATAAGTTAGGTTTTAGTTCTAACCCAACCATGTGACCTTATTTCTAGGTCAATCACTGTAAATTATGAAGAAGTACATAGAAGGCGATTAAAATAAATTATCATCAACTTACAACGAGCGAAGTTAAAAAAAGGATTTTTAAAACTTTTCTTTACTTATTTAAGGACAAGGTTTTATAGATCAGCTTAATGTATTAAAAGTAATCTTAGGTAATACTTAAACCAAATTATGACCTTTTAACGGTAGTAAGTTAAATTTTTTTATTCAACAAAATATTTTCGCAAAATTAAAAAAAAAAAATATGTATGTATATATTTTCCCCCAAAAAGCTCCATGCACATTCAAAGCTTTTGTTTTAAAAATTTCCTGCAGTTTTAATCTGTCATTTTTATTTAAGAATTTTGCTAAACATTATACTTCTTTAATCATATAAATTTTAGCAATTATTGGAAAGTATAATTTCAATCGCAATCTAAGGTCAACTACACAATTTTGGCAAAGCTTTTGATTTATCCTGTTGCAACTCTGCAGTCATCACAATCACAAGAGTCGGCGAAAGACTGCTACATAAACAAATGTACATACATACATAATATATATAAACTACATACAATTTGTATTGATAACTAAGTAATTCAATAAACATACATATGTATACTTTTTTCTCAGTTACCTATCATAAAGCTCAAAGAACGTATTATGAAACCCTTCTCCCGCCGACCGGTGTGCTCTAAAATAATGTGCTTAAATAAATAAATTTTTTCTATTTATTTTATTCTGATAAATATTTGATATTAAAAAGCTTCAGATTTTCATATTAATTTAATTTAGCAAAATATGCAACACTGCGCACAAATTTGTGTACTTCTCTTTAGTTTCAATAAAAGTTACAAGCTTTATTTAATTTTTTTCAATATTCCTTTAACATTTCACATTTTCTATTAGATTTTTTTCAACAATTTTCAATTATTATTTTCAGCTATTTAAAAGTTTTTCTTTTTAATGACCGCTGCTCGTTTCTCTCGGTGTATGTAAGTATGTATGTTTGTGTGTAGGGCAATCTTGGTATACCTTTTTTTAATTTCAAATATTTGTTTGGACAAATGGCGCGATTTTGCATTGTTACAATTTTTATATATATTTTTTTTATTCATGATGTTTACACTTGTCTTTTATTTTACTACTCCTGCTTTATATTTGCTTTATCTTTTATTTGAAGTTTTTCTTTTGTATTTAGTTGTTATACTTCATCAACATTGTTGTTTTTATGATGAGAAAGTAGGCGAAAAATTCTCTTATTCAGTTCCAATATCCTTGCGAATTTTGTGACCTCGGAAGGAGGCTTGAATTTTAGTGGCCGCCTTATGCAATTCCGGATCACTTAGATCGATATCCAGTTCCTCAGCCACCTTCTTGGTGATCTCCTGTATGTCAACATCGTCAGGCGTTTCTTTGGTAACGACTTTGCGTGTCAAGTGGCCACGGAAGGCTGCCTGGATTTTCGCAGCTGCGTCGCACAGTTCTGGAAAGAGAGGGAGAAGGAGTTTGTTGTTAAGTAAAATTTAAATTGTGAAAATATATAGAGTTTTTTTTTTAATATTGAAGAGTTTGAGGAATGAGACCTCTTGCCTTGCGCAATTTATGCTTCAAGTCACGTCTCTGGTGCGAAACTTTAAACCAGGCGCTCAATAAAGTTGCCACATGTCAACAGCTGTATTTGGCGCGATGGTGGCATCCAACAAAACCCTACCTGCCTACAGCGCAAAGGCAGCGCAGAGGTGCAATGATAAACTTTCTGAAATAATTCATTCCCGCCGCGGCAGTCCAGGCAGTGCGTACGTTGTGTATCAGAGTGTAAGCGCTAACTGCACAGATTCAAACTTTAATTGTGGCAGCATGTTGCTGGTGGTCACTATATAAAAACTTCCATTGGAACTTTGATCCGAAATGCAACGTGTGCGAATTCGTTGGCAACTAGCTCGGTGTCCGCTCACTCATTGTCACGTTTGCACATAGCAAGTCTATAACCTAGCGTTTCTTTGCTGCATCCAAAAGCTCGGTGTGGTGACTAGTTCCAGAACTGTACGTGCCTCATTCTCTCTGCTATATCTAAACATGTAGGTACCTGCTGACATTAATTTTACCGTACGATGTGCCTTTTTTACCATTTTGAAATGAAGCAGTTTTGACAATTGTTAGCTTCGAGGACTATTTAAGAGGGCTTTTACTCTGTGCGCGTCCATATAAAATCTGCAGAGAGCTTTTGAAGAGTTCTGCCCGCGAGCGCTGTTTTGAGCATCACTGTTCTAGATAGCCGGTCCAGCCGTATAGAACATACATTTCTGCTGGGAAAAGGGTACAATCAGTTAACTAAAACTTAGCCATTACTATAAAGATCGCATTCCATGAAGTACATTCCAGTGCATGCAGGTCTTTATTAGAAGCGGCGGCTGCTAAATGAGCTCTTGGAATATGGGGTTGTAAAAATTGGATACTATGACTCACCTTGGCCTTTGGCGGAGAGACGATGACTGAACAAAGTCAAAGGTAGTCTACTTACATAGACCTGTGTTGCTCAAAACAGCGCCCACGGCAAACTTTTGTAAGGTTTCTATACATTTTGTATGGGTGTGCGCAAGGTAAAAGCTTCCTCTGGTCGCCATTGATTTAAGTGCTAGTAAAATTTACATTATGCCTGCATTCCCTACAAGGTAATCTTTTTAGAGATTTCTGTAGTTTAGATAACTTTCGCTCTCCAAGAGGTATAGATCACTGATGGGCAGTGCCTTTCCCGCGGGCAAAGCTCTTTTAAGCGTTCAATACATTTTGTATGGGCGCGAGTAGAGTAAAAGCTCTCTCTGCCCAACGCTGGTATAGATTAACAATAAAGAGTGTAATTAGAGAGAGTGGCTCTCAAGCTTTATTCGGTCTAACAAAATTGTGAAAACTGCCAGTTTCCGGTGAGTCCAAATGAAGTATTTAAGTATACACTGCGAACTTTATTAAATGCACAGTAAGAATTGGAAGCTATTTTCCGCCTACATTAAGAAGTTTGTTTGATTAAACCTTTTGATGGACAGATGAATCGCTTAGCTTTTCGTTGCTCGAAACATTTAGTTCAATGCGCTTCCTAATAATATTGTTGGGCATTTATGCAATCAAGTGGGACTTCTAAACTAGCGAGATGAATCCCTCTACCTCAGAGAGCTTTATCCACAATATAAACCTTAAATTTGCTAGCGATTTCTAATTATGGAACTATACATAGTACAATTAGGGTAGGATGCATGAATTCGTGCAAGGCCAGTTCACTTAACCAAGACTGTTCACACAACTCAAATCGGGAATTTCAAGACACTTTAAATTAATTGATTCACTAAATAAACAGATTTTATTTAAAAAATCATATCATATCGACGGCTGACTGGAAGATCGACCTATCTTGGCAGACAGTTCGAAAATGTCCTATCTCAGAAAACTTTTCAAGAGACAGGTAGATCTTCCATTTAGCCGTCGATATACAATTCAAACATTTTTATACTTTAAAATTAATTTATTTCAAAAAAGTCTTTAACATTTTTTTTTGGGTGTTCACTCTACAGATGACTCAATGAAAGTTCAACCCTGATTGTACTGCACTTACAAATTTAGTTAACAAAAATGTACTGTCAAGAACGTTACCGCAAAAGTACCAAACGAAAAGAAAAGTATTGGGGGCAGTTTAAATGGGAAAGAAATAAGAACAAAAAGTTGTGGAACGTTTCCGTAAAGAATAAAATGTAAAAAAAACTCTCGGTAACGTTCTCAAAAAGAAAAAAACCGAGAACAAAACTCTCGGGAACGTTCTCAAGAAGAACAGAATGAAAACGAGGCTTTCAGGAATGTTTCCAATGAGAACGAAAGTATCGAGAACGCTTTCAAAAAGGACCAAATAAAAACCAAAGTCTGAGGAACGTTCTGCTAGAGAACAAAAGATTTAAGAACTTAACGTTAAGAATGAGAGGGGCGTCGGCATGTTGGGATGAAAATTCGTTTCAGTGAGAACCATGATTGATAATTCTAACCCTGATGAAAGCTGGATAATTTTAACATCCAGATGGTTAATCATTGGTTTGATCTGACCATTTATAAAAATTTTGTCCCCCTTCAATTCTTCGCGAATAGTTCAGAGAAGATTTGTTCCCGTTTGTTCTCTGTCACAACGTTCTTGAGACTTTAGTTCCCAAATTGTTCTTCGAGGGAGAGTTGTTAAGACTTTTCTTCCCGTTTTGTTTTTGCCAGAACGTTCCGGAGACTTTTGCTCCCATTTTGTTCTCTTAAAAATGTTCCCGAAAGTTTTGTCCCGCTTTCGGTTTGGCTATTTTAAGAGTTCTTGGGAACAAGACTACGAGAATCAGGACAGGTCTTTGAAAGAGCTTCTTTTATTTTGGTATGAGGCAACATACAATAAAAAAAAAATAATAATAATAATAATTTATGTATTCCGAGATAATTCATCTATCTTTTAAAAAGGTTATTCTTATCGATAAGTAACTATTCAACTGCTCAGTTCTCAGAATTCTGGCTGCTGAATCACTTTGACTGGAGAATACGAAAACACTTCTATATATATGTATATACATAAGTATATCTGTGATGACAGCTCAGACCAACTGCAATTACACATATGTAATTGTAAACTTATGAAAATGCATTAATCCCCCTCTCAACTACACAAAAAAGAATCCCATATGTACAGTAGTTTAATCGCAACTGGTTACTGGGTAGCAGCGGCTTATGTGTGCCGTCAGCCAACGAAAATACCAAGTTTTCAACTTAAAATTAAAGTTTGCCTTACAAATACCGGCTGCAACTTTTGTGTATGATTTGTGTTTTCTACTCCTGCAGGCACCTCTACATATTTTCGTCCAATAATATACATACGTATATATGTACATACACAAACTGTGTTTGATGGTAAGTAGGACAAACTTTTCCTTTTGGCCAACATAATAATTTTCTCTTTGTAGCAAAGTTAAAGTTCAAAAGCAACAACAACGAACAACTGCAATTCGGGCAACTTAGTACATCGTTATTACCAGGAGGATCCCCTCAACTTTTGACCGGTAACATCAATTTGTGTACTTTAATGGTGTAAAAATCAATGTCCAAATATAAAATCGATTTTATGATGATATACATATGTATATCATTTACTAGCAATTACCCGGCGTGCTTCGCTGCGCCTTAAATGTATTTTTGTGTTGTAACTCTCCCCCTAAGCTCTTATGGCCTCATTTACAAAATATTTTTAAAGAACTTTATGAAGTTAGATTTAAAAAAAAATCGATCTATGAAGCATTGTTTATTTTTTTGTTTGAGTTAATATATTTTCGAAGGTAATTAGAAAATATGTAAAGAACCGACTTTCTCTTGGAAATTTAATTTATAATCTTATAACTGGAGTCTACTATCGCACCCTTTCCTCAAACGTGTATTGATTCAATATTCAAATAACGTATATTTATATAATTTGAAAAAATCTCCCTACTATACAAATATGTACAGCAATATTAACTAATATTTTCAAATGTTGTGAGAGGGAGTAACAAAACAAAATTACTTTTAAGGCGCAGCGAAGCACGCCGGGTATTCGCTAGTTAGTTAATATTGCTGTACATATTTGTATAGTAGGGAGATTTTTTCAAATTACATAAATATACGTTATTTGAATATTGAATTAATACACGTTTGAGGAAAGGGTGCGATAGTAGACTCCAGTTATAAGATTATAAATTAAATTGTTGTCAATGTTTTTTAATAATTGTAAATTGTAAACATTCGCCAGCTGTTTCTGTTTATTTATTAGTAAAAGGCAGGACTGCCAATCTTGCGGCAAAACAATAATAAAAATCCAAAAAAACACGTAAAGCCAAACAGAATTAATTGCAAAACGTGCAATGATACACACATTAAATTTCTTATGTGTGAAAATTTCATTTTATGTGCACCCTCCACACAGACCCCAATCACCCCTGAAAATTTCATTGAAATCGGGTAAGCCGTCTAGGAATGATAGAAATCTCTTATGTGCACCCTCCACACAGACCCCAATCACTTCTGAAAATTTCATTTTATGTGCACCCTCCACACAGACCCCAATCACCCCTGAAAATTTCATTGAAATCGGGCAAGCCGTCTAGGAATGATAGAAATCCGAAAAAAAACATGTAAAGCCAAACAGAATTAATTTTTTTTTTTTGTTTTTGCAAAACGTGCAAAGATACACACATGAAATTTCTTATGTGCACCCTCACACAGACCCCAATCACCCCTGAAAATTTCATTGAAATCGGGCAAGCCGTCTAGGAGGAGTATGCGAACAGGAAGTTTTGCCACTTAATTTTATATATATAGATATACATATGTATATTAGTTTTGTATCATGGATTTTATGAAATTTTCTGTAAGACATACATAAATTTGAGATTTCTCTATAAATATTTACTACAGTTTTCCATTGCATTTGCACTGGATTTCTGCAAGAACTAAAAAGTTGGAAAGCGCAGAGAGGTGGTCATACTACCATTCCCGAAAACCAAAACTTACCAAACCAAACGGACTTCCGCCTAACAACGCTCACTTACAGTAAAAAGAGTATCATTCAGAGGTTCAAGCTT